GGCGCGAGGAGAGGGCAGTTTCAGCAGATGCTGCAGTGCGTCCGGCCTGGCAGACCTGACGTGGTGTCTAGAGAGGAAGGCGGCAGCAGAGTCAGGTCAGCACTCATCACTCAGAGGTCCCAGGAAAGTTATGGGCGTCACCCCAGTGTCCGGAACACAGTCAGAGGAAATCCAGGAGTAGGAAAGGTTTCTGTTATGCGGAAGGGAAGCACTCCAAGACGGATCCTAACGACGACTTCCACAGCACACCACCCTCGGCGTGCAAACCTCGGCGTGCAAACCTCGGCGTGCATCGCCTCTTGCTCACAAAGCACTTGGACTCAAAAGTTGCCCACACTCAGGTGTATATGTCACCGCGGCCTGAGTGCAGGAGTTACAAGAAGGGTCAGTAACTTTGGGTGCTTTCATTTCTTTTGGAGCCTTCCTTAGGGCTGTCTAGCTTCCCTTCACGACTTCTGTCTTTGCAGAAATTGAGCAGGCTTTTCACAAGTCTTCAGCCAGGACTTCTGGCTCCTGTTCCCACCTGTAAACGGCTTATAAGTTATCACTCCCATCCTTACCACAAGAAAAAGATGAACAAACCGAAAACCAACGACTTTTCTAGAACCCCTCAGAGAACTGAGGTCAAAGGGCAAACTGCCACCCCCAAATCTGGATGGACAGGCAAATCCAGAAAGTGGCAGCAGAGACCTCCTTACCCGGAGCAGAAGCCACTGGAGCTATAAATTAGTAGAAACACTTAAATGGCAAATTTTATAAATTTCTGGAGGCTGAATGTGGTCTATCACGAGAGTGAGAAAGTCCTGGGGGTCACAGTCTTAGAGGGGCACCCACGTTTGCATGGCTTTGACTTCCAGGGAACCTTGGCACTCTGGCAGAGGGAGGGACAGAGTACCCCTGTGAAGCGGGCCCTGTGGGTGCTCCATAAGCAAGGCCTGTCCCGCCTGGGAAGAGGCACTTCTCCCAGTCTAGGCCCCTCTGGCCCTCCTGTCTCATCTAAGAGGAGGAAAAATAAAAGGCTAAGAAACACTTGTGAAGGTCACAGCCCAGGGACACAGGCCACTGAAAGGCTGAGATGCACTAATGAGATCGTGGAACCCTCCCCTCCCCGCACTGGACCAGCACACCCACAAGCTCCGGGACAGTCAGAGTTGGATCACAGCTGGGGGACCTGTGGTGTGTCAGACTCCGTCTAACGAGGAGCTCTCAGAAGCCCCAAGACAACAGGGAGATGACGACAAGGACACTCAAGGAGTTGGAAACCTCAGCACCTACAGCTGCAGCAAACATCAGAGAACCCAAGTGCTAGCCATAGTAACATGAAATCGCACACGGGAAGCCTCTTCCCCTCAGTTCCTACTGTCCCAAAGATCATCTGGCTTTCAACAACAAAAAAAGTATAAGACATGTTAAGTAAAAAGGAAAAAACATGTCTGAATGGACAAAGCAAGCCCCGGAACCAGCCTCAGGTGTGACGCAGGTGCTGGAATGATCAGACAGGGGCTTAACAGAACTATGATGAATACGCTAGCGGTTCTAATGGAAAAGGCAGACAACACACAAGAGCAGACGGGTGACGTCCCCAGGGAGATGGAAACTGTAGGAAAGAATCAAAAGGAAATGCTAGACCTTTAAGAAAAAACAAAACTTCACAGAAGTGAAGAAGGCCTTTTACCGGCACATCAGCACACTGGACATGGCCCAAGAGAGACCCAGTGAGCTTGAAGAGAGGTCAACAGAAACTCGCCATCCTGAGATGCAACAAAACCTTCAGTCAGTTAAGGACCTGCAAGTTTCACCCAGCTCTGTCCTCGTGAAGTCTGGCTATCAGCCACACAGACTGTTAGCCCTCTGACAAGGGACCACTTTTGCAGGACGGCTGGTCTTGCAGGAGCTGAGGTCACAGCTCCAGCTCTGCTCAGCAGCAGCATGCACCCTCTCAACCGCATGTCCTGGGCAGTCACGTGCCCCCGTGCTTCTGAGTGACCTGTGCCTCAGGTAGTAACAGAGGGCTCGATGGCTTTTAGGGGAGGGGACCAGCAGACAGATTCCAGCCGAGAAGTGGCCAGTGAGTGTGAGGCAGGGCCTCCATCCTGAAGAACTGATAGAGGAACAGACTGTCAGGGCGGGGACCAGACACCCAGGTGGGTACAAGGTTGGGGGCGTAATCTCAGAAAAAGGGAGAATCAAGTTGTCAGAAATGGGGCACAAAGACGGGGTCAGTCAAGAAACAGTGGTGACTTCCAGTTGAGTCCCTTCCACGGTCACGTGCTGGAGCATCTCACGAGCCTCCTTCCTGTCTGACTCAGGCCTTGCCAGAGCCCGAAGGTCAGGGTGGACCTGAGTCTGCGGATGGGCTCAAGGTCTACTGACGATGGAGGAAAGATTTGGAAGCCACCTGCTCTGCCCTCCTGGGGCTGGGCTTCAGGCGCTGATGCCCATTCTGCCCTGCCCTCCCACCCTTACTTGCTAAGCTTTGCCCAACCAATGGATGCAACAGAACGTCCACTTCTGATCTTCCTGGGTTGTTCTACCCTATCATACTTCCGCCTGTCCCCTCCCAGCATAGGTGTCTGTGATGGTCCCTTCTATGTGACAACTTGGCTAGGCTGTGGTGCCCAGTTGTTCAGTCAAACAGGAGTCTAGATGTTGCTGTGAAGACATTTTTAGATGTGATTAATATTTACAGTCAGTAGATTTTGAGTAAAGGAGACTACCCTCCATAATGTGGGTAGGCATCATCTAATCAGTTGAAGGCCTTAAGAACTGAGGTTTGCAGAAAAAGAAGCAATTCAGCCCTATGACTGCAACATAAAAACCTTACCAAGTTTCCCACCTGCCAGCTTGCCCTACAGATTCTAGACTCGCCCCACAATTGCCCATTCCTTAAACTCTCTCTCTCCCCCTCTCTCTCTCTCTGTGATTAGATATAGATATAGATTATATAGATATAATCTTATTGGTCACTTATAGAACGTATAACAAGATATCTATATCTTCTTGGTTCTGTGTTTCTAGAGAACTCTAACTGATACAGTGCCTCTACAGAAAAGAATTAATCTTTTTGCAATAAATGCAAACCCACAGTTTTAACCAAAAGGGAATTTTTTCAGTGAAAAACAATCATTCTATCCATTTATCTGACAGAGGTATTAACAAAAAAGTATACACCTCACTCATCTTTGCTGCTTTTCATTAATCCTCAGCTACACAGACTTGCAACAGGATGTTGCCTTTTGGCATGTTGACATTAAAACTAACGCTTCGGCCGCCCCGTGGCTTAGCGGTTAAGTGCGCACGCTCCACTACTGGCGGCCCGGGTCGGATCCTGGGTGCGCACCGACGCACCGCTTCTCCAGCCATGCTGAGGCCAAGTCCCACATACAGCAACTAGAAGGATGTGCAGCTATGACATACAACTATCTACTGGGGCTTTGGGGGAAAAATAAAAAGGAGGAGGATTGGCAATAGATGTTAGCTCAGAGCCGGTCTTCCTCAGCAAAAAGAGGAGGATTAGCACGGATGTTAGCTCAGGGCTGATCTTCCTCACACAAAAAAATAAAAAATAAATTTAAAAAATTAAAAAAAAATAAAACTAACGCTTATTTTTAAAGTCATTACAACCCCAGCCAACCCCTTCTAAGTGCAGCCATACGAGGGCTCCTCCATCTGAAACGGCTCGTGGACGTGCCTGTGGAAACCATCAATTGCCCATGAAAACCAGTCAACCAGAACCAATCGCAAACCACAATTACAGGTGCTCACCAGCTTGTGGAGCCAAACCAATGGAGGGGAAACTTCATTTTTCCTCTGCTCTTCGTTTTGTTTTGATTTTTGGAAAATAAAGAAAAATACAGGATGTGACCATCTGAGAGTCTCGGGAACACGCTGGCAAATAATGAGGGTGTCTTCACTCTCCAAGCCCTCTCCTGAGGGGCAACAGGAAGCCCTGCCCCGGGGGCGTTCAACCCCTGCGGCTCAAACTCCAGAGAAACTGCAGTCAGCTGGGACGGTTTTCATGCCGAAACAGGAGGCAGTACTTCATTTTACTCCATAACTGTTTCCTTGACTGGAAAATGAGAGTGTGGTGGTTGGTGGTGTTTTAACCTCAGCTGCCACGCTGACATAGGAAGTTCCCGCAGGCCTGGGCCCTACGTACCAGATAGACGCCACACTGAAGGCAAACCACACAAGCCACACAGCATGAACAGAACATGAATGTGTCTGAAACAAATTTCTAACAATGTGTCTTTAGCAGATAGACTCATATTTTATTTTGACAAATTTAAGATAGAAAAATATCAAGTGAATACAGCAGTTGCTCCTGCTGTCACATGGTTGGGGTTGTGTGGAGGGATGGAAAGGGCTGGCTCGCAGGATGGTCTCCCTCTGTTTCTGCTTCAGTTAAGACAATTCTACTTCAGCCATCGCATTTGCTTGACAGAATATCGGACACAGTAAAACTGGTTTTTAAAAAGGCTACAGCATTCAATAATAAATATTATAAAGCACTGAGCCAAAACAACCTTTAAAATATTTTTATAATTACTAAAAGCCAACTTTAAACTTCATGATTAAAGCTAACAACTCATATTTTCAAAATAGCTTTAACATTTTCTACCAATATATAATAGAATAGAGCACTTAAAAAAAAAGACAAGTGAAGAAAAATGAGAGTAAACACATTTCAGATGACTACAAAGAGTAAACATCAATGCAGTGTATTTATGTATATACGTCATTTCAATAATATACTCTTTGCCCAGCTGGCCATATAAAAACTGCAGTTTTGTCATCAGAAACATGCCCCTGTGTGTGATCTGTGAGCTGCTCAGGTGTTGCCAGCATACCTACACCCCATCTTTGGAGTGGGGTTGAGGACTCCTGGCACACGCAGACACTCGGTCATGGTTATCGTGAGAAACAGTCATGTGCCCGGGGTCTGCCCCGAGACTGACTTCTCAAGCACCTTCCTGACCCTTTGTCTCTGGGACGCCTCAGGCCACCCCACGCTGAGTAACTCACACAGGCGCTCATTTTGTGGCTGCCAGTCCGTTTCAGCTCCTTTCCTTGCTTCCCTTCCCCACTCCTCAAAGAATAAAACTGAACGGCCCTCATGAAAATATGCTCCCTCTCTCTTATAAAATAAGCGTATGTACATATATACACACAGGCATTTCCTTTCAAGGGCTGGGTAACTCTTCATTTTCTATCAAATAATCCTCCTTCGTGTACTTGGTTCCCCGAACTAGCCTCCACACCTGGAGGTAAGCATCCTTCAACGACCTCTTGCTCGCTTCCTCAGGGCTGCCCGCGCCCCGCGCGCCCCGAGCCCCCAGCAGGGCTCCCCCGGGGCCGCCCCTGGCCTCCGGCCCACTCCGCCAAGCGGGGCCACCTGCTGCCGCCCCACCTGCCGCCCCGCCACCTCCACCCTCCGCGGGCGGCTCCGCCAGGACTAACGGCAGCCGGTCCCGGCTCGGCGGCGCCTGCTCGCCCCCGGGCTGCGCCCCCAGGTCCTCGTAGTGGCTTCGTTTTCTGGTCTCCAGGAATTTGGCCACGCAGTAAATGATGGAGCCCAGGGTGTTGACCACGACGCCGGCGATGAACAGAGAGGTGGGCGCCACGTCGCTGAAGGCCACCATGCCCACCGTGATGGTGGCGATGCTCTTCACCACGCCCACGAAGCTGGTGGTCACGGCCGAGTTGATGTAGGTGCAGTGCAGCGTGGTGAAGTTCATGGCGCAGCCGATCAGGACGCAGGCCACGAAGATGCAGACCATGGCCGGGTCCCTCCAGCCGGGGAAGGCCCAGGCGCGGATGGAGTCGGTGCTGGCGAAGGAGCAGACGACGAGCAGCGGCGTGGAGGAGACGGCGACCGCGTACTGCGCCGTGAGCGGCCCGTGCTCCGTGTCGGCGCTCGCCTTCTGGATCAGCACCAGGTAGGCGGCGTGCACCAGCACGGCCAGCACGCCCGTGACGTACCCCACAGGGTCGCCGCTCAGGTCGCCGGCTCCTGCGCCGCCGGGACGGCCGATCCGGGCGGGAAGGAAAAAGACAAGACGTCGGGTTGGCCAGGGGCGGGGTTCGCGCCCCAGCTCTGCGCTCGGGCACGAACCGGAGAGCCGCGCTCAGCCGAGGCCGGCTCGGGCGGGAGGAGGGGCGCCCTCCCCAAGCGCCCCCGGGCTCTGGCCACCCCTGGCCATGACGGGGCCCCGGGGAGCGCGGTGCCCTCAGGGTGGGCGCTCTGGCTTCCCGGGCTGGCCACGAGGTCACCAGGCGCTTGTGCCCCTGCCCCTCCGCGGGCGCCAGGAGGGAGAGGGACCCCCAGCTGGTGGCTCTGACCCGGGCGGGCGGGCGGGCAAAGAGCGCCTCCTCTCGGCCCCAAGAGGGTCTCTCGCTCCCCAGCCCCCCACGCGCTCCGGCGTCGACGCCCGGCCTCTGCCCGAGACCTCGAAGCAGCCCCGGCGGCCCCCGCGCGGCGCCCCTCGTCCCCCCGCTCCAGCCCGCGTGACCCGGGGAGGCTGCAGCCCCTCCCCCCCGCTCCCGGAGGAAGGAAGCGGTGAAGGGAAGACGGGTGGGGGGGCGAGAAGGGCGATACGCGACGGGGGAGGGCGGGGGTCGGAAGCCAGGACCCGCGGGGGCTCCGAAGGAGGGGCCGAAGCGCAGGGGCGGCTCGGCGGGGTCTAGAGTCCCGTTTGCGAGCCAGCGACCGCGTCCAGGCTCCCCGCCTCTGCCTCAGTCTCCCCATCTGGAAGCGATGCCCGCGGCCGCCGACCGGCGGGAGGGGTGGGCGGGGTGGGCGCGGGGCCCCTCACCTGCCAGGGCGGCGCCGCAGGTGGTGATGAGCACGGCGGCCAGCACCCCCGGCGAGGGCGCGCCGTTCTTGAGCACCAGGACGCCGATGAGCATGGTGACCAGGGGCAGGCAGCGCTTGAAGACCACGTACATGGGCAGGCTGAGGCCGCGCAGGGACCAGAGCGTGAGGCTGGACTGCAGCGTGGACAGCACGGCGACCCCCGCGAAGGAGCGCGCCAGGCTCAGGCCGAAGGGGGGCACGGCGACCAGCCCGAGGCGCCGCAGCAGCTCGAGGCTCAGTGCCGCCGCGGAGCTGGTCAGGCACTGCACCAGGGTCAGGAAGGAGAACTGGTAGCGGCTGATGAGGAACTTGAGCAGGATGTTGAGGGAGCCCGAGAAGACCCCGTGCGCGATGGCCACCGAGATGCCCAGCACGCGGCCCCGGCACAGGTGCCGCATCGCGCCGCCCGGCGCCCCGGGCCTGCGGGGACAGAGCGGGGACGGAGCGGGAGGAGCGCGGGGGCAGAGCCGGCAGAGCGCGGGGGCAGAGCGGGCGGAGCGCGGGGACGGAGCGCGGGGACGGAGCTGGGACGGAGCGGGAGGAGCGCGGGGACGGAGCGGGAGAAGCGCGGGGACGGAGCGCAGGGACGGAGCGGGGAGTCCACCCGGCCGCGCGCAGAGCAGGGGGCGCCGGTCGGCCGGGGCAGCTCCGCCGGCGTCCTCTCCGCGCGCGGCTCCGCGTCCGACTGCCCCGCAGCTCCGGAGGCGGGGGCGGGGGCCTCCGAAAAGTGGCAGGGGTGGGGGGCCGGTCCGAGAGGAGTGGCGGGGATCCCGGTGGCGGCGGCGGCTTTAAGTAGGCGACGAGCCTCGCCGCGTGCGCCCGCGGTCCCCGTCACCGGGGACGTTCGCTCCGCGGCTGCAGCTCCGAGGGACGGCCAGGCCCGGCCCCCGACCCCGGCCC